CAATGAAGATGCACCTTTTTACCTTCATCTCTGGAGTACATGCATAAGAATTTCTGGGAACTACAGAAGCACACAATGATGAATCAAATTGCCCTGAGTTAGCCAAGTGAAATTCATGAATGCAAATCCTCATACAAGGGTTTAAGTTAAAAAATCATTGTTTACTTACTTATATATACCCCTTGTATGTATATATCACAGTTGCGCGTGATAACATGTTAAAACTAATTAATCTTCTCTCTCATAAACAACATCACTGATAACTACTCCCAAAATAAATTTGAGCATGCTGAAGTGGGAGAAAATTGAATGAGAAAGTAATCATGATAGGAGGGAAAGATTTTAATTAATTGCAACTAATCAATGTGGGACAAACATGACTTCTAACATGAGGCATGTAGAGGAAAGTAAAACACTACAATATTTACTTTACCTTTCTGGCTCAATTTTCCATTCAAACAATTTGTAACTTTAAAAGGTATCATGGAGATGTAGATGACTTCCATTCAATCTGAATATTATATCCTGCAAAAAGGGAAAATTATAAACCTAAGCCCTTGGAATGAATTTATTCTAAAATGTCCAGTAGCTGTAGAAGTTTATACTGTGGCCGTAGCATTAGAAATAAAATCAGCAGATTCTGCAGGGAGAACAACCCATCTTATAAGCGTATCATTATCTCTTGAAGTAGCATTCATAAGTTGGACCTGCAAAAATTCATCTTAAAACTGAGTAGCAGCCTGAAAATCGGAGGGGTGGCGTGCAAGGAGCACAGCCGACAACCATATCAGCTGAAACAAAATGTACACTAATTTAGCTTTTATATACTACAAATTCCTACCTGAGAAGCATTAACATCTAACTCCTTCGCAATAGACTGAGCAAGTTCTGAGATATGAGGCTTTAACACTGGGTACTTCATGGCCAATAACATATAAAAGGTTATGCAACCTATTTTGATTTCCCCTGCAACTCGGAGACACGTCAATTATCTGCTCATTGTCTACCATTATTAAAAAATCATGAGCTAAAATTGGTATGTCTTAAGCACAAAGGCAAAACTAGTGAGAAAGCTAGTAACACCAAAAAAACGATGAGCCACACATGTGATCTATGAAACATGAACTATTTCAAACGTGCATTTTGATTTCAATTTGCAATGCACTCTCTTTGAATAACTAAAAGACTTGTCTGGGAACTACTAGTTGGGGACAAAAGAATTTCATCCCAATTCCCAAGCAAGGTTAAAATTATCAGAACCAAACTCCCTCATAGTCATGTCTTCATTACTCTCGTGAGGTTTTTCATCTTCCAAGCAATAAGAATCCAACTATTTCCACAGAACATCCCCTACACAAAAGCCCACTTCCTAACTCCTATATGCAAAATGACAAAAAGAATTATGAGGGGACACTATAACTGAATAGGAAATCATGATGACAGCATTGAGAACAGAGTTTCAACTTTGTTCAAGCAACGATTTTGTTTCAAAATCACAACACATTAGTAGAGTGTCGAAAAATGAAAATAGGAAGTCAGCAGAACTGTTCAAGCCATCATGTTCAGATTTATGATAGGTTAAGCTAAGGAGGTATGTCATGCAAGCTATTTATCCTCAAGAACATAAGCAGCTTTAAACAAAAAGCAAATCAAAATTGACGTCAAAGCACATGAAACAAAATGATAAGTAATTTTCTGGGGACAACAAGACATTCGAGAGTTGTGAAACATCACTGATAGGAGGTTTACTCATTGATTCAAGTGGAAAAACAAACTTCTCAATTACAAGCTTCAACATACCAAATAAACTTCCAATTCCCTAACAACTTGAACATACCAAAAATAGACAAGGTCCTGACAATCTAAATCGTAAACCCTAGTTATCCCGCTTTGAGTTTGAGCTTAGAAATGCGTGCGTTTCGCTTCATACGCTGAAAATGGGGGGTGTGGACTTGAGCGCGCGCATAGCCATTGAAACCGGAATCTTTCTTGAGAGCAATTACAGCATTGAGATCTTCCTCTGTCTCTACCCAGATGTGGGTGCTCGATAGAAGAGCCCGCAACATTTCAGCAACTTGGCCTTCTGCTAGCTCGAGCTGATCGTTAGCTGCTCTGTAGTTGTTCTGAAGCGATTCCCAGGACGGTGGGACACCTTCCTCCAACCGTTTGCCAGCCCTCTTCACAGTTTCTCCTTCAGCTTTTCCTTGGCCGTGATATACGCGCGTAATTCATTAACAGAAGACATGCCAAGAATTTTGGGATTTTTTCACAAATAATTTGGAATTCAGGATGAGGGAAATGCTCACATGGCCACAGTGGGCACATGTTAATATGCCTACTGACTTATGTGACATGCACACATTGGTGATATTATGTTAATATGTCATTAACATACCAATGTGTGCATGTTACATAAGTCGGTGGGCATATTAACATGTGTCAACTGGGCATGTGAGTATTTCCCTGCAGGATAATATGGATTCTATTTGATTTGCAATAGAATTTATAACCCGAAATTAAAGGCGCTAACTTTGCTGATTGGTTGAATAAAGAAAGTGCGGATCGTGACTACAGCCGTTGGATTGATTTTTTTTTTTTTTCTTAGTATTTTTTAATTGAGTTTTACTTTTTTTTTAATTTGTATTGTGAAGGGTTTAAAACTTCTGAATCCAACAAGAAGATACATAGAGTTATATGTAGGTTCTTCATTTGGAGGAAGGATGAATTGTCATTTGAAGGAAATATGGATTGAAGATGATTACTTGTCTGATTTCATATACAACTAAGAAGGTACACATATACATGGCATGCATTTGTGGTTGTCATTGACTTATTGCTTGAATATTAAGGGTGGTATGGATCACCACACATAGTTCCCAACATCAATATAACTCTTTTAATTTTTTTTTTTTTATTGATATGCAACAAACATCTTTTGAGGATTGTAATGCTAAAGGTAATGCCAAACATTACTTAGTATTAATTATCTTCGATTTTTTTTTTTTTTCTCTTAGTGATTTAATATTAGTTAGTACTTATTCTATTAGAATGAATAGTTGCAGTTGTTCCCAGGCATCTCATTCACAAGACTCACCTCTTATATTTTACAATGATTGACCAGTATGAGTGTAAAGTATTGACAAATGGGAATGCTGGTGAAATAGTTTTCATACATACAGACAGGTCAAAGATTGAATCCGCTGTTGAATTGTCGGCTCGGCCTGTTGAGCGACAAGCTCTTGATCACATCGACCACGGGTCAGGGGCCCGACTAGGAACCGGACTCATATATATATCGAGGCATGTTTCGAGCCTTCCGAAAAATAATTCAAACTGAGTGTTCTGGGCTCGATTTAGGATCCTTGGTCCGGAGCTGGCGGATTGACACCATAATTTTTATAATTCAAATTCAAAACTATACTATTTCAAAAAAAGAAAAAAACAATGACCACCAAGTCTGGAGCTTGGACCGCTGGTTTTTGGAACCGCCTCGGTGCTTCTCCAATGCCCGAAAATGGTGGACCGGGTCGTTTGATCATGTCTAGATATATAGAATGAGTTTAACACCATCAATTTTGAACCCCTTTCATATTTTAAAGAAGATAATTTTATTTGATAGTTTCTGATATCACGACGATTATCAAGAGTCAAATCTCACTTTTTTTTTAATGTTGGTTCATACATGAATAACTTGCCATCAGTCATAGTCAACTCGGTATTGTTGTTTCTAGAGTTATGAACAATAATGAATTACAATATTAATGTTGTCACGCTAGAAAAAGGCACGCCAATAAAAGATATTATATATACAAAAGAATTTAATAATATATAAATAAATCTTTTAAGATTTCACTTTTTTTAACAGTTATTTCCTTTTTATATATCTTTCGTGCATTTGCACGGGCAATCGTACTAGTTCAACAAAATAATGGAACTCACAAACATTGTTTGCATCATCAAATCAAACATTGTGCTCCCTCTTCCTTAACCAATGTCGACCCCTAAAAATCCTATAAATTTCGACTTCGATTCAAAAATTGAGAAATTTTCAAACCCAAATCCTAATTCTACTTCCAATTGTATGCGCACGGCCAAACCGCCAAGCAAAACCGCAGTTTTCCTAATTGGATCTGCAGGTGACACCGCCACCGGTGCTTTTTATAGTTTCTTGGTCTCCATCTTTGGGTTTGGTAAGATTGCTTTCTTTGAATTCATCATCCTCGTAACGCCAAGTCTTATCCGTCGCTGGTAGAGTGTAGTTCGGCGGTGGGTTTTAGACGTGTCCAAAGGTCAGGTCGGTTCACGGCCCAGCCTAGCTCGCCGGGTCTGTGGGCCTCCTCTGCTGGGCCCGTAACTGGCCCAGCTATTTCTATGGGCCGGTTCCTTGAACCGACCCACATGCCCTTATCAGGTCAAAGACACGACCTTCGCTTATACGACCTTCAGGTCATAATGACTTTGAGCTCCATGAGGTGCTCGGCTCCTCACTGTTTTGTTCAGGACGACTCGTCTCTGAGCTACTACATCGATCTCCTTGACGAGGACAAACCTTGACATTGAGCTGAGGCTCTCTTGAAGCGATCGAACCCGAGCTAACCGCCTAGGCCAGTTCACCGAACTATCATGGATGCTAAATCAACTAGTATGCACTTTTATTGAAATACTATTAACCCACCAACAATTAAACCGCCAATATATTGTGATAAACAAATGAGTTAGATTCCATCGTACAACAGTTATGTAATCGATGCTTTGCAGACTTTTAACAAAAATGAGTTAAGGCACATCCTGCGGTTTAACTACCGAAGTAACCTAGGAGCAAACTACAAGGAGCAAACTAAAAGGGTCTAAGACTGACAGACAAAAACATAAAAATAAAAATAAAAACAAAAAAAAAAGCATTTTATCACGCATAGATCGAACAACATGAAACAAAATGGTCAAAAACTAAGGTCACTCAATTTCTTGCATGCACATGGATTTTTAATCACCTAAAAAAATTATGTTACAACTTCTTTTCTCCTTAACCCATTCCTCATCCTATGAACAACTTGATGAAAAAGGTCGACTATCGGCCGACACATAGCTTGCAACGGCAGCCTCACATGCATCTCCCAACACGTATGTATCTCGATGCAACTAATATGATGGACTTGCTCACATAATTCGTAAGAGAACCAGCTTTGCTCGGTATTGGAAGGATTAACAATGGTTGCCGAGAGCACGTAGGCCGAGGCCGCGTGCTTCACTAGCTCGTTTCTTATGGTTATGTTGTTGCATGGGTCGTCGGCATTTTTTGGTGACGAGGTCAAGATTATGTCCTTCAGGCTAGTGTACCTATATGTACAACAAACATGGACATAAGTTAAATAAATAAATCACAATATACATTGGCCAGTGTTTTTTTTTTTTTTAGAGATTACAACAAGGTTATAGACCAAAATCAGAGACATACGAAGAAAAAGAAATCAATAAATCACAATAGTACATTGGCCAGACATTATATGTACAGTTCTGTAGATCAAAATATTGAATTTAGAGGACTTTTGCTTTCGAGAAATTTCATTTTTGCATGGAGAATTAAAGGATTATTTTTAAAGATTTATTTTAAAAAATAATGAATGATAGTAATTATTACATATCATAAAAAAATTACTAAAAAATTCCCAACAAAAAAAAAGGGAGTTGATTATATTTAATTTTGCTTTCGCACCTGGGAAGATTATCAGTTTCCGACTCGCCGTCACTACTCGTAGCCGTAGGCGTTTCAAACCGGCGCCGAAAAGAAGGCGCGGCCTTTAATTTGGGTGACCCTATATCCATAAACCTATCTCACGAATTCATCTTTTTTATATACAAAATCCTTTTGTATTTTCACAAATATTTAAAGAAAATTGATTTTTCTAGCTTGATATGAATTCCAGGAGCCTTAATCAGGCCTTTATACATTGAATAATTTGGACTGCCATGCGAAAGGGTTTCAAATTGAAATTAATTAAGGTTCTTGAAAATCAAAGAAAAATCAGAAAATGACGCTAAAATCAAGACTCTGAAACTTGGAAACCATTATCGCTAATTGTTGAGCAAGAAAATGTGCGAGTTTTTTAAATGACACGTGGAATATCATCCTTAAAAAATGTGAAGAGCACGAGAGGGAATAGTGACCGTTGGATATATCCTAGGTCATAGGACATTGAAACGGACAATCATGAAAAAAAATCTTTGGCTTTTAGTATATCTTTAGAGCATCTCCACAAGTATGTGAATTGTTGGTATTGTAGAAGTACTCCGATAAAAAAAACTTCTCGAAGAGATGGAATTATTTTAGAAGTCTTTCCACATGTGAAAGTACTTCTAAAAGTCTTAAATATATTATTTATATATATATTTAAATTATCATTATAATAATATTTATGTAATAATTATTATTTGTTAAAACATGTATTTAATATTTACAAAAATATTAACTAAATTTGAAAAAAAATTTCAATTTCTAATCTAAGTCGTTGATTAAATTATAGTTTGTTAGTATTTATTTGTACACAATTTATGCATATTAAGATAAGAGTCATTTTCTATGCTAGTATACATGTGAATCATGCAATGTTGCTATCATTGACGTGGTTCATTTGGGTAAAATAATATATTATAAATCATCAGCAAAATGTTGAGAGAGAGAAAAGAAAACATTAGTCAAAAGCTAAAATATAATATACTTTGTATATAGAAGTCATAATTTAGTCTTAATTCCTTAGTGTTATACAAGACCATGGAAATTCAATTATATAATTCAAAAAAGCTTTCTTCATAACCTCACTTCCCAAAGGTCAAAATAATAAAAAGAAAATGACATTTAACACCTCTGATCAATAGCCCAAAAAAGAGGGAAAACAGAAAGAAAAAGTCATTTACACCATATAGTTTTTTATCTTTCAAATCCATGAATCTCAGTCCCCATATATAGCAGCTTCATAGAACAACAACCATTATTAGTTGAGGATCCATTTCTTAAACAGACACCATTTGCAATTCCACCACAAACAGCCACCACCTTATAGAAGTAAGTAAGCCTCGGTATATCTTCAGTTTGTCAAATTTTTAGAACACTGCATAATTTTACAGTGAATGTCAAGTCTGTAAAAATTAATCACATTATTTCGTTCGAAAAATATGAACAACTTCATATCTTTCACCAAAATGGTGAAAATAAAAGCCTAATCCAATTCAACCCAGCAGCCAAAAGTTGTACACAACCTAATATTCTATTAATGGCTGCCATCTACCACAAACAAGTAAAAACAACACAGCATAGAAAAAAAAACAGAAGGTCAGATCCACATCAGAAGCTATAAACGTCACAAACCCAGCATTGATGAAAATGGGAGGAAAAAGAAACAGATAATAACAGCATTGATGAACAAAACCAACAATCGTCTCCTATAGCTTTTACACAATTAAGGAAACCTGTTCAAATTACAAGGAAAATTCACTAAAACATTATCCGTCACATACCTGGACTAAAAGAAGCCTCGTATCTTCTAAGTAGCAAAATAGTACGTTAATATATACCACGTTTGGCTGAGCAGCGTCCCAGACGATTTAGATTTCACTAAATGGTCATTCATCATTGACAGTTTCATCATAACCAATATTATATACCCCCACATAGATAATCAATTTGCTTCAATAATCTTGCTATACAGTATACAGTGCAAGGAAAGCCAAATTTTGTAACATCATTGCTATTTCAAGAATATCTTGAACGAAGAAACATTTAAGCAAATTGTATCTTTAACAGCCAATATCACCCTCAGAAAAAAAGTAACTACGGCACCACAAATAGCACAAAATCAGTCTAGAAAGAATCCTTCCCACACCACTAGACTACACAAAACTACTGCTTCCTTCAACTACCAGAATCTGAACAGCTAAAAAACCAAATCATTCATCCGAGGTGCCGCTTCAAAATCCAAAAACAACTAAAACGCCCAACTCCCAAGTCAGAAAACCACCAAGAAGCTTCTGCTTCCATGCCATGTCATCACAAAACTTAGCCACAAAACAGCAACACAGAAAGCCTCACCTGATCGTGACAAACTTATTTGTACCGTGTTTGGCCCAATAGCTCCTGAGATCAATCGGGCTCGAGAAATTATATCCCTCGCGCGTGAGCTTTTCCAGCACCTTCTTGAAAGCCCCTATGCTCATCTTCCTGCCCGCAATTCTTGCTCCACGTCTCTTGGTGCTCATGGGCAGAGGGTACACAGAAAGCTTCGTGGTACAGCATGCGGACTGCCACCCCCCCGAACCCCACCTGTAACACTTCTCTGGGGTGCCCGTGCAAGAGCAGACTGGTGTGGGAATATCCGAAACATTCATGTGAATTCCATTGATCTCGATCTCAGCCTGTTTCTTGGGGCCCGGCCCATCACGTGGGGCCCGAGGGGCTTTGGTCCTTGGCTTCTTCTTCTTCTCCTTCTGGGCCTGGGCCTGGGCCTGGTTTGAGGTCGGGCCGCGGGCTCTCTTCTTTGCTGCAGGCCCAAAATGGCTTTTTTCTCGCTTCTCGCTTGTGGGGTCAGTCTCGGAGGCAATTTTATCGTGTTTGGGCGGATTTGTGATGGGCTGGGGTGTCTCGGGAGAGATTCCGCAGCTCGGCAGGTAATAACCGGAGATTATGTTCAGGTACTTCTCGTGGTTTTGGTTCACCCAATAGTAGTCCATGGGGATGTGGGACTCAGTAATGCGGTGGGGGTGGAAAGGGCCGCCATTGGTGGAGGCCGTCGGATTCGAGTCTGTGTGGCTGTGGGCCCCAGCAGTGTCGAAAAGGGGCTTTTCCGAAATGGAGGGCATTAGCTGAAGGCCCAGGTGGTGATTCTTGAGAGTGGAGGCTGGGGTATCAAGAAAACCCCAATTTCTCAAATTCATGTTTCCATTTCCATCCATTTCTTTTTTTCTTTTTTGCCCTTTTGCTGTACTTTTTTTTTTCTCAATCAGCAGGTAAAACGAGGACTTGAGGAAACAAAAGCAAGGACCTTTTTGAGAAAATTCAGTGTTTTTTTGAAGAGAATTTGTGATTTGAGCACCGCTGAGATTTATCTTACGCCAAACCAAACCCTACAGAGAAAAACGCATAAGAAACAACGAACTATAGCGAGATGAATCACCTTGAGCATAATTACACACGATAACATATATACATAAACGTTAACTGCATAATTCAGAACAAATGAAAAAGGCAATATTTTCGAGCAGTTTTCAGGTCAGATCTTCGTGAATAACTGGGACATTGGATTTAAGATAGGAAGGATACTGAGGTGAATCAAAATGGCAAAACAATTCAAGTAATTAAAAGAAAAAAATGAGAGGGAAAAAGATGAAGAGAACTTACGGAGAGAACAGAGTCGGCTGGCCTTAGGGCTTCTTTATTCAGTTTTTTCTTTCAGATTTTATGTGTGAGGAAGTGGGTTAAAATCAATAAAATATAATATATATATATATATATAAAGAGATTATGTTTACTAAAAATTTAATAAAAATTTGACTTTTTTAAAATAGTAATTGTTATCCGTTAAGAAATATTTTATTGCTAAATAATTTATATAAAATAAGTATATAATTTATCTTTAATGCAATTTATTCATTGCAACACCAATTGTTTATGATATTTATTAACTTATGAATAACATACTTAAAAATATTAATAATTATGCATGATAAATCTTCTCGGTTCCGACTCATGTTAGTATCGAGTCATCATATTAATTACATAATTAATTAATTAATTTTAAATTTTTTAAAATTATTAAATTTATTATTTTATAAATATGTAAAACATTAACTTGCCTTTAATTCTATAATTTGGAATCATAATATATTGCTATTTGTTATAAATATTTACCGACTGAGGCCCGGGGAAATCCCATGTGCTTGGAGCTCGACCGGCTTAAAAGACAAGTTGTCAGGAGAGGATCGCCGAACCCAAGTGACTGGACGACCTCAGAGACAACCTATAGGATTGACGGTCTATATGAACGACGACTTTAGGCCAAGAAAACGACCTAAGCAACCTTAGGACTTAATATAACTTGACCTCAACTATGCGGGAGGGGGGGACGACCTGAGGAAAATGCGACCTACATCAATCGGAAGCAAAGATAAGAAGGAATCTTAAGAGGATAAAATGAAATCTAAGTGACTAGGAGATGATTAAGATATAGCAAAAATGCTAAGAGCCAACTGTTGGCTCCTTAGCATTATTGTAAGATATAGATAAGCAATAAGTTTGGGCAGCCAGACAAGCTGCCCGCGGTCACTCGGGCAAAGCATTTTGGGCAGGTATTTCCCTATAAAAGGGACTAAGGTATCACCAAATTCTAACTTTACATTCTATATTACTCTTATTCACAGGGCACCACCATCATCTTCTTGACACTGACTTAGGCATCGAAAGCTCTTCGCGGAAATCCCTTCCGACGTTGAGTTTTTGAAAGTACACACATGACGATCCAGGCATATCGGAGCTCATCTCAACCGGTTCTACCCAGATTCAGGTAGTGACCCATCAACATATTATTTTTTATTTCATAAAATTAATTACATTTAAGAAAAAAATAAATTTATTTGGATCAACTAGGCAGATTGAATTAGGCTATTGCATATGTTATTGAACTAAGTTAAGATCATTTGTAAAAATCGACAAAAAAATTGACACGACGTTTGTTTCATCCTGAGTGACCAAGTTACGAGTCAATTTGACCAAATCAATTCGATTACTGAAACTAAATATGGGTTTCAATATTAAGAATACTTTGTTCTAATAAATATAATACACTTCAAATAATTAAAGTAAGAATTTTGTCATGAGGAAATGGTGATTAATGTTATTTATATATTTAATTTATAATACAATTGTATTAGGGTTTTCTCTTGAATTGAACGAACTACGTACTAGTTTATAGTATGCATTTATTTATTTATTTATTTTTGCAAGAAATTCTTTATAAATCTGATAAATGCGTATTATCTTTATATATATATATATATATAGAGAGAGAGAAATTGGAGAACCTATTTATGGATTTACTCATTCCATATTTTCAAGATTTGTTTTTTCTTTTTAAATAAAATAAAACAAACAAATCACAATAACAAATAAATATATAATATATTATATAAGTTATGATTAAATTATAGTTAAAATTATTTATTTTAGAAATCGATTTTCAAAAAATAAAGTACTTATTATTTATTATTCATATTTTACTTAGATATATTAAATATTTATTCACAAAATTAATTAATAATTTAATAATTCTATACCACCATATATGTGAATGGTTTACGTAATTATATATTTATATTTAACTTATATATAAGATGTGTATAACAATAGAAAAACATATTTATTGAAAATATAGTATTTTTGTTAAGTAAAAATAACATTAAAATTATCATAACTCATGAAATANATTTTACAATCTTGAAAATGTGAATGTATATAAATTACATAAAAATATAATAATTAAAATTGATTAAATGAATACTATTTTTTATCAAAGATTACATAATATTGGTTGGTTGTTTTACTCTACTGACTTTGTAAAAATATATAACATAAATAATAATTAAAGTAATTTGTTTTATTTATATTCAACACTTCTATCAATTAATTTGAATAGAACTTTTTTCACTACCTAATTTCAGAAAAATAAAAAATAAAAAATTTCTCAGTTAGTTCCAACTTCCAAGAACACACGCTGTAAAGCCACGAGTCACAAGGCCTCAAGGAAATAGCCACACAATCTCTCTCACACTCACACGCCTCATCTTCGTTTTTACATTCCTCACTCCTCTGCTCTGCTCTCTCTCTCTCTCTCACAGCGTGTGTGTGTGTGAACTGTGAAGTACCAAACAATTGTGGGAAATGGAGCTCACGACGCTGTAGCTGTCCCAGATTATTCGATTGGTAAACTAAAGAGAAAAGGAGAAAGAAAAATGCAAGCTTTGGGTGTCCAGACGCCCCAAGTTTTGGTGTCATCAGTCAAGAAGAAAACTTTTCCAACTTTTGATTCATTTAATCTACTGCCCTTTCGCCCTTTCGTGCCCAGGAGAAATTTCAGACCATCTTCTTGTTCTTCATGTAACTACTCTAGTTCTCTCTGTTTGTTTGT